TCCTCCTCCTCCATTGCTTTTGGTCTCAAACTCCTCAAAATCATGAAATTGATCATCAATGACACTTCCATCTGTGTTAGAGCATCACTTGGGAAGAGAAGAGTCCCAGATTTGCTGGGGAGTCACATGTTTCTTACCGCTAGACATGCTGAAAAAGGACGACTGAAATGGTATTCCCACAATGCACCACTGGCTCCCCGATTTTTTTTATGTGGTGCACACTGACTATGGAGACCCATTCTCTCACATGTGGGCCTACCAGCTTTCTCCTGCTTGATTTGAAGCCGCTAGAATTTATGCAATTTATGCGTATAGATACGTCAAACACTGTATCTCCTATGACGTATATATATGACCGCGACAGTCAAAGGGTTAATTACAGTTTTACATACAACAAATTCTATAGTTTTTAATTATGTATAGTATTACATATAAAATAACATTTTTACTTACCTTTATTGAAGATTGGTGATGGCATCTGGAAGATAGGGAGGAGGAGAGAGGGAGTTGGAGTTAGTGTTTGGAAGGAGAATCCCCCTCCATGAGGACTTCAGGTAAAGCCCTCTCTGGGGTTACTTCCCTTCTCTGTCTCTTAATGCCACTAGGACCAGCTTGAGTCATTGAACCCCTGTCTCACAAAATATCTGTCCACAGTCCTCTGTTTCTGGCGCCTCTTTAACATTTCCCTAAAATGGGACATGGTTCTGTCACTGAACTTGTTGCAAAGATGGCTTGTTTCAGCATGCTCAGGGTGGTACTTCTGCACAAACATTTGGACATCATTCCACTTGGCACAAATCTCCTTAATCTTTGAAGAAGGCACCTCATCCACTCCCTATATTAACACTTTTCGCAACATCAGCTTCCTTGATTTGTTCTTTCTTTGACAGGATAGAACCGATGGTCGACTTATTTTTCCCATACATCCTGGCAAGCTCAACAAGACTCGCACCACTCTCATACTTCTGTATTATTTCCTCCTTCACATCTATGGTGTTTCTCACTTTCTTTATCACAGGGATACCACTATCAAGTTTCTTTTGGCCCATGGCAGCTTATTTCACAGTCCCACAAGCACTAAACACAACAAAATACAGTGGACCTCCGGTTAACGATATTTTTTCAATCCAGAAGTATGTTCAGGTGCCAGTACTGACCGAATTTGTTCCCATAGGGAATATTGTGAAGTAGATTAGTCCATTTCAGACCCCCAAACATACACGTACAAACGCACTTACATAAATACACTTACATAATTGTTCACATTCGGAGGTGATCGTTATGCGGGGATCCATTGTAATAGTAAAATGCTTGAATGAGAGCGCAGGTTAGTGTTCACTCAAGCATAAACAAAGCTAGACTGCTCACGGCGCCTGTGCAGGGACGTGGACAGATCAGGCCGGCAGACAGGTCCCATACCCAGCGGTCCGAAAATAGGGGTGCATTCGATAATAGGGACACAGTTTGTCTGAAAAAAATGGTCCTATTTTCGAAACGTTCGATATGTGATACGTTCGATTTTTGAGGTTCCACTGTATATTATCACCACCAACAACTCAGAAATTCCTAAATATTTCAAGATTATTTCAATATTAACCCTTTGACTGTTTTGGTCATATATATACGTCTTACAGGCCAGTGTTTCGGACGTATTAATACGCATAAATTCTAGCGGCTTCAAATCAAGCAGGAGAAAGCTGGTAGGCCCACATGTGAGAGAATGGGTCTGTGTGGTCAGTGTGCACCACATAAAAAAAATCCTGCAGCACACAGTGCATAACGAGAAAAAAAAACTGACCATTTTTTTTGGATTAAAACGCTGAATTTGAGGTGTATTTTCGTATAGTATTTATTGCTGTATTCTCATTTTCATGGTCTCACATAATAAAATGGAAACCATATTACAGAAATAGAGATGATTTTGATTAGTTTCATGATGAAAACGACCTTGAAATTGAGCTCAAAGTAGTGGAAATGTTCGATTTTTACCAATGTTCAGGAGTAAGCAAATCACACCACATGTCCAATAGACATCAACTGAGGAGTCTAATATTCTTTCACTAGTGCACTGATATTATTTATACCATTTTTACAATAATGCAGTAGTCTGCATAACAGTAAACTTTGTATTTTTTGTATGAATAAAAAATCAAAATAGAAAGCAATAGTAATATAAGAGGGGCCTAGAGACGTGACTAGTGAACAGAGGATATGCTATTTTAGTGCCAAGAATGTCTACATTGTTTATTCTGGACCCTATTTTGAAATTGGCATCTTTTTTAATTTGCGTGAAATTGGCCAAATTGCCAATTTCTGACCACTTTATTGGGTAGTTCAAATCGGTAAATGGGCAGTTTCTTGTACTCAACTGATAGAAAAAATGGAGTTCTAAAGAAATAGCTATGAGTTTGGTCAACTGGAACAACAGAATTGGTCAAAAACAGGGCTCAAAGTCGGCAAAATCGCCGATGCGCATATGTCGCCGAAACCGCTAACTTCACGGGAGTGTAATTCCATGAGTTTTCGACCAAATTTCGTACTTTTGGTGTCATTACCATTGGGAAAAGATTCTCTATCATTTCATAAGTAAAAAATAATTTTTTTTTTCCAAAAATTTTGTGACAGAATAAGTTTCAGAAAGGGGCTTGCGACAGTCAAAGGGTTAAAGTGTTCCAATCTCATTATGTAAAATGTGCCAAAATATAATACAGTAACCTGTTAATCATTTCATCTCAATTATAAATTCAGATTTGAGGTTGTCAGTCCCTCAGCCTGGAGAAGTTCTGTTCCGAAGACTGGAACTAACTAACGAGTTAGTTCCAGTTTTTGGAACAGAACTTCTCCAGGCTGAGGGACCGACAACCTCAAATCTACTACTTAAAGGGTGATGGACTGATTACATCGTCTTCACATCTCTACATCTCCTGCCTACTTTCTATACTCGACTGAAGAAGCCTACTGTGTAGGCGAAACGTTTTGGAATAAAGTTGCCTAAATATTGCCTATGTGTCTTATCTACCAACCTGTTGGTATTGTATACCATTTGATAATCAAGTAGTACTCTACTAACAGTAGAATACATGAGACTTACCTTTAATGAAGATCTGGTGATGATTGATGGGATGGGAGGAGGGGAGAGTGTCGAACTTATTGTTTAGAAGGGGAATCCCCTTCCATTAAGACTTGAGGTATCAAGTCCTTTTCCGGGGTTACTTCCCTTCTTCTTTTAATGCCACTAGGACCAGCTTGAGAGTCAGTGGACTTCTGTCGCACAACATATCTGTCCATAGAGGCCTGTACCTCTCGTTCCTTTATGATTTGTCTAAAGTGGTTCACAACATTGTCATTGTAATAGTCACCAGCACGGCTTGCAATAGCTGTGTGAGGGTGATTTTCATCCATAAAGGTTTGCACCTCGAGCCACTTTACACACATTTCCTTAATCTCTTTTTTCAATTTCATACTAATTCTCACCCTTTTTACCACAGGGATGGCACTAGAAGCTTTCTTGGGGTCCATGGTGACTTATTTTGTAGTTACAAGCACTAAAAACACTGGGATAATGTGAAATGTACCGAATGTATGCGTAGATGCGACCGCACTGGCTGGCTTGTGAACACTGGCGCTGAGGCCACACGTGGGATGCGTCTCGGACGAATCGCGTGAGGCGAGTGTTTTAACGTGAGGCGAGGCAAAATTTTTGCATTAAAGTGTATTGTATGCCGGATTTAACGTATGTCGATACCATCGTATGCCGGGGGTCCACTGTATTTTGAACTTTGTGTTAAATTGGCCAAATTACCAATTTCTGATCACTTTATTTTGTAGTTGAAACAGTTGACATGGCGATTTCTTGTGCTCAGTCGATAGAATAGAAGTAATACTAGTGAAATAGCCAAGAATTTGGTCGACTGGAATAATGTAATTGGCCTAAAATGGGAGTCAAATTCGGCAAAATCACCGATTCGTAAATATTGCTGACACATCAAAATTCGCGAGAGCATAATTTCGTCAGTTTTCCATCAAATTTCATACTTTTTGTTTTATTACCTTCAGAAAAAGATTCTCTACCATTTCATACGAAAAAATAGCAATTTTGTTTTTTGAAAATTCTTGGACACTGGTGTACACTTTGAAATTTGGCCTCTGGACCCTGAAAGGGTTAATGAAACATAGTAAATATAATGAACAATTGCACATAGGGGTATAATTCTAATGAAGATAAACATACACATGTGAGAGTAGATTAAAAGTGTAGCATGATACATAATAAGAAAAAAATGAACAAGTTCAGCCAAATCGGTTATGTATGTTGGTTCAGTTTTTTACAAAAGATGATATTTAATTCAATAACTTAATAACGAGAGATAATGATTATTGGTAAATTAAGGAACAGAGATCAGTAGAGAGTATTGAAGCAGTAGTGCTCATTTGAGAAAGCCAATACAGCAGTAATAGTAGAAGGTAATTATGAAGATAGATGGAGTAAGTGATTTGTCTTCAGTATTTAGGTACCCAGTGCTTGCTGCAGCTTAGTGTTAAATTAAGTAAACTTGTTGCAGTCCTCAGCTCTATCTCTTAAGTTATTTCATATATTTGGTCCATTAATTTGCATAGTTTCTATAGAGGTTTAAGGAACACGAAGGATATCAAATAGGTATTTGTTTCTGGTGTGATGCCTATATGTTCTGTTATAATTTTCTGAGAATTGCCTGAGCTTAGTCAAAGTATTATAGTGTAATGGTTTGAACATGGAGATTAAACAGTAGTATGTATGAATTCATTTATATTTAGTAGGTTCAGGGATTGGAATAAAGACATAGTGTGTTGCCCATAGGTAGAGTTTGTGATTATTCTGAGAACTGCCTTTTGTTGAGTTATAATTGATTTGAGGTGTGTAGCTGCAGTGGATCCCTAGGTACAAAATAAGCTGTCAGAAGATAAAAATTAACTGGTTGTCTTGAGGAAACTAAATGAAATATTAAATTTCTTTTTCATAGGGTCTCTTTCCATCTTGTCACTCTTGGCTGCAGACAGAGGTGACATATAGACAAGAAGAAAATATTGTAAATATTGTGCCTGAAATACATTCCCATCAAGAGATACAACTCTACCAGCAAGTTGAAGAGTCTCAATATTACAGGTCAGTGTTTTATATTATGATCATGGGCAAGCACTAAACCTGTAGGGGTCACACACATATAGGGAATGAGAGTTAATCAGGTTTGATCCAAGGAAGGGAAAGGTAGTATCAATTCCTTGGCTCAAAGGCCTTTCACCAGCATCAAGTCAACAGTTAATATAATAAATGTGCTAAAAAATGCATTAAATATGCTTAGCAATTCTCTCAACAACAAATGTGTGAAAAACTATATATAGTTTGACCTAAGAGTAAGCTGAAGGAGCAAGATGTATCTGTTTTCTTGTGTGTTTATGAGACAGAAAAAAAAAAAACACACCAGCAATCCTACCCTTGTGTAAAACAATTATAGGTTTCTGTTTCACTCTCATTTGACAGGATAGTAGTACCTCCCTGGGTGGTTGCTGTTTGCTAACCTACTAATGTACCCAAGTCATCATTTTGCATCATTACTGATACTTTTCAAGGTGCTTTGTAAAGATTACAATTCATTTTTGTACTTTGGACCATTGCTCGTGGGATAAGTACTGTACATCCATTTATTTATTTATTTATTTATTTATTTAATAATTTGAACATACATACAGAGGTACAAAAAAAATACAGGTAAGAGCAGCATGCCAAAGCCACTTGTATGCATAGCATTACGGGCTGGCTTAAAATTAACTTAAGATTAACTAAGCAATGATGTAATCAGTGATAAAACATTATTGTAAACAGATAACAATAAAGCACAAATGAGTATTACAAAGACAGGTCATTGGTTGCATGCATTGCTGTACATTCAGTAGAATGGAGTATTCTGTTACAGTACTGTCTATCATGAAATAATGCTTTTGACATCAGAACTAGTAGTAATCAGATTATTTTGGTTAAGTTTGAAAGGACACACAGTGGAACCTCAGCTTATGAACGCCCCACCATGCGAACTTTTCAGGATATGAACCGTCATTCAGTCGATTTTTTGTTTCTGGGTACGAACAAAATTTCAGGGTGCATACTTTCTCCTCAAGAGAGGTTCTTTAACCCTTAAACTGTCCAAAGGTTATCTACGTTTTCACTGCTAGCGCTCCAAACGTAGATCTACATTTTATTTTTCTTCTTCTTTCAACAAACCGGCCGTATCCAACCAAGGTAGGATGGCCCAAAAAGAAAAACAAAAGTTTCTCTTTTTAAATTTAGTAATTTATACAGAAGGGGTTACTAGCCCCTTGCTCCCGGCACTTTAGTCGCCTGTTATGACACGCATAGCTTAAGGAGGAAGAATTCTGTTCTACTTCCCCATGGAGGATTTTATTTTTCCTACCTCCAAATTTGGCATGATTGGGATGAGATGCCTGGTCAGTATAGAATCAGTCTTAACACTCAGTGTGCACAGTATTAAAAAAATCCTGGACCACTTAGTACCTTGTGGGAGCACCACTAAAATTGAGCATGGCAAACACCAAGGATTCACTGATGTCAAGTCATATTAACACCCCTTGCAAGAGGACAGTTATGGATGTGGCCACAAGTGATCGTGGAAATATCGAAAACCTCTATAGTAACCCATGTGTAACATATGTGCAAAATCCTTTCATTTTTGATACCACTGGCTGTCTCTCTGTCTGTATCTGTCTATCTGTCTATATCTGGCTGTCTGTATCTCTATCTGTCTATATCTCTCTCATATGTACACATAAGTACAGTTATTATACATAGTGTAAGTTACCTAGGGTAACCCAAAAATTCCAGGCAAAGTACATACTGTACAGTGCTTGTAGATAAAAGACATAATATCCACGACTGGCAACTCGGTGGAAGTAATACGCATTTTCACTTCACCAGGAATCAGACGTGACTACTGCATTGTGTGTAATACTTGCTGATTTATGAGCTGCTCTCTAAGACTGAGAGACACGCAGACAGAAAGACACACACACAGGCAGCTAGAAAAACCGAAACATATGGGCAGACAGAACAACACACACACAGGCAGATGGAAAGACCGAGACACACAGGCAAACAGAACGACATGCACATACACAGACAAATACAGGCAGACAGAAAGACCGAGACACACAGGCAGACAGAAAGACAGACACACACAGGCAGACAGAAAGAGAGACAGGCAGACAGAAAGATAAACAGAGATAGACAGATAGACAGACAGACAGACAGATAGACAAACAAATATACATGTTTGTGTGTAACTGTGTAAACTCCACTGCTTACCCTGTCAGCAGTTTAGCGACACTTGTCATAAACACCATGCTTCAAGGACTTTCATACATACTACAGCATGTCTAAAACAATTCTGAGACCTATAAATACTTTGTATATATTTCTAGACAATAGTAAATGACCAAGTCAGGTGAAAATGTACACTTGCTTGTGCGAGTGTGACTATTTGAGTACTATTTCAGTGCCTAATATTAGTGTCAGAACAAAGATTGGCTATGAAATCACAAGAACTATTATAAATTGTAATTATCAGAACATAAAAATTATATAAATTAAAATAAAAACAAAAAAAGATATATCGGCAACACTTCTGCAAGTGGCAGGACTCCATGTTGCTGTCAGGTGAGCATCCAGCACTTACTTCGCCGTCTTATATCTCGGTAAGTACTAATCCTAAATTTTTTTTTTGGTCTTATAACACACAAAATTGCCCTCTTTAATTTAAAAAAAAAGAATGATTTTTTTATTTTTCAAAATATTTGGAGTGCTGGCAGTAAAACTGCAGATCTACTTTTGGACAGTTTAAGGGTTAAATAAATAAATAAATAAAATATTTCGGAGTGTGGAAATTAGGAGGTGTGGAGTTAATAAAAGTATTAGTCAGAGGGCTGAAGAGGGTTTGTTGAGGTGGTTTGGTCATTTAGAGAGAATGGATCAAAGTAAAAAGACATGGAGAGTGTATAAATCTGTAGGGGAAGGAAGGCGGGGTAGGGGTCGTCCTCGAAAAGGTTGGAGGGAGGGGGTAAAGGAGGTGTTGTGGGCGAGGTATTTGGACTTCCAGCAAGCGTGTGTGAGTGTGTTAGATAGGAGTGAATGGAGACAAATGGTATTTGGGACCTAACGAGCTGTTGGAGTGTGAGCAGGGTAATATTTAGCGAAGGGATTCAGGGAAACCGGTTATTTTATATAATTGGACTTGAGTCCTGGAAATGGGAAGTAAATGCCTGCACTCTAAAGGAGGGGTTTGGGATATTGGCAGTTTGGAGAGATATATTGTGTATTTTTATATGTATGTATATACTTCTAAACTGTTGTATTCTGGGCACCTCTGAAAAAACAGTGATTATGTGTGAGTGAGGTGAAAGTGTTGAATGATGATGAAAGTGTTTTCTTTTTGGGGATTTTCTTTCTTTTTGGGTCACCCTGCCTTGGTGGGAGATGGCCGACTTGATAAAAAAAAATTATTTCTTTGCAAAGGTTACAGTGTGTGTTTACATATCATAATATGATTGGAGCAAAGAAAGCCACTATCATGCCAAGGCATTTTTGGCAGATTTAACCTAATTCTTATAGACTACTTAAGGCTAGACAGGTGAAGAGTGGTAGTGGTTACCAATGTTTTGCTGATTGTGGCACCAACTACTGGCAACCTTCTGAATTTCTCCTTACTGTTAGTACATATTATTATTATTATTATTATTATTATTACTATTATTGTATATTGTATTTTTATTATTATTCTTAAAATAAGTATTATTATTATAATTAGTAGTAGTAAATGGTGAGGGGCTCTTGATCTAGGGAATTGGATCTGTGTTCCAGTTCCCTAAATTAAGCCTGAATACCTTTCATCCCATCCTCCCCACCCATAAGCACTTCCCCATTATAATAATGATAATAAAATAATATATATAATAATAATAAAATAATATGTATAATAATATAATAATGTACGACAAGGTCCTAAATGCACTAGAAGACAAAAAGAATGCAGATGTAATATATAGAGACTTTGCAAAAGCCTTCGACAAGTGTGACCATGGCGTAATAGCGCACAAAATACGTGCTAAAGGAATAACAGGAAAAGTCGGTCGATGGATCTATAATTTCCTCACTAACAGAACACAGAGAGTAGTCGTCAACAGAGTAAAGTCCGAGGCAGCTACTGTGAAAAGCTCTGTTCCACAAGGCACAGTACTCGCTCCCATCTTGTTCCTCATCCTCATATCCGACATAGACAAGGATGTCAGCCACAGCACCGTGTCTTCCTTTGCAGATGACACCCGATTCTGCATGACAGTGTCTTCCATTGCAGACACTGCAAGGCTTCAGGCGGACATCAACCAAATCTTTCAGTGGGCTGCAGAAAACAATATGAAGTTCAACGATGAGAAATTTCAATTACTCAGATATGGTAAACACGAGGAAATTAAATCTTCATCAGAGTACAAAACAAATTTGGCCACAAAATAGAGCGAAACACCAACGTCAAAGACCTGGGAGTGATCATGTCGGAGGATCTCACCTTCAAGGACCATAACATTGTATCAATCGCATCTGCTAGAAAAAATGACAGGATGGATAATGAGAACCTTCAAAACTAGGGAGGCCAAGCCCATGATGACACTCTTCAGGTCACTTGTTCTATCTAGGCTGGAATATTGCTGCACACTAATAGCACCTTTCAAGGCAGGTGAAATTGCTGACCTAGAAAATGTAGAGAACCTTCACGGCGCGCATAACGGAGATAAAACACCTCAATTACTGGGAGCGCTTGAGGTTCCTAAACCTGTATTCCCTGGAACGCAGGCGGAAGAGATACATGATTATATACACCTGGAAAATCCTAGAGGGACTAGTACCGAACTTGCACACGAAAATCACTCACTACAAAAGCAAAAGACTTGGCAGACGATGCAACATCCCCCCAATGAAAAGCAGGGGTGTCACTAGCACGTTAAGAGACCATACAATAAGTATCAGGGGCCCGAGACTGTTCAACTGCCTCCCAGCATACATAAGGGGGATTACCAACAGACCCCTGGCAGTCTTCAAGCTGG